AAGAGTCATTCCTTCACATCTGGCAATGGTGGGGTGAAGGATTCATTTGGAATCCTCACAAACTGGCTTCTTTGGCTCATACATCCTAAAATGTCAGCATATACGTTGGTGAGTGTAAAGGGCAGAGTCTTTACACTGTTTTAAACACTATTGCATACACTGTTGTACAATAGTGTCTATACACTATTGAAGAACCAATACAGGAACAGCTGGGTGGAAGGACGTCTCATGGAGGATCCTACTGGCTTTTGCAGTGATTTCTGCGTACAGAGGGAGGCATTTCATGCCAGGGTTCTGGGCATCCTTACTGGGGGCTTACCACATCTTATTTGCTCAGCCAGAGCAACTGGAATTGGAGTATTACAGAATAAAGATCGCTTAATATGAAATGCTTGGATCCAAAGTGTCTTAAATATCTGAACTTTTCAGGTTTTTTTTTTTTTTTGGAGTATTTGAGAATCTCTACTCCAAAATTCAAATTCCGAAATGCTCTAAAATCCAAAGCTATTCTGAGTTCAGCACTCAGAATTTCTAACTTGAAAGCATTCCAGATTTTCCATTTAAGGGTGTGTGTGTGTGTGAAGATGTATCTATATCCGTATATCTTACATGGAGGTTATAAACTGCTTCTAGCCAATCACAGTGAGATTTTCAGAAGAGTTTTCCTGTGTGCCATCAGCCCCTCTAATGGTCCTGTCCATCCACATTATAATAATGACTGAGTCCCACTGAGACTCTGTAAGGCTGATCACTCATGATGCAGAGAAGACACCGAACATGGCCAGAACCCACAGCAAGTACTGCAGCCAAGACGGCCATCATAAAGAGGGATCTTACTACTAACATGGTTATTAGTCAGCTGGGGAGGGCTCCTGAAGGGGGTCACTGATTAAAGCAGTATATATAAACCACTCTGAGAAAAGGCTATATAAATTCGACTTCTGAGTTTTCTTCCTTTCTGAGATCATTGTTGCAGTAAGGTTTTACATTATGCGTACTAGGAAACTCATCTCTGTTCTGCAAAGTGTGTTACATTGTCAGTATCTAAAAAATGTATGGGAATGTGGAGTTGAGAGAGTTCAGCTGTGGACTGGCTAGAACAGAAAAAAATGGGCGGGGCACAGTGGTAGAGTGATATTGGCTTTCAAACATGGTCACCCACTAGAAGTTCCCTAATCCTTTCCCCTTGCACTATTTTTAATTATACATGTCTTTAATGTATTCATTCATCTGGATATCTTGGGGGGGGGCGGATTTTAAAGACAAGGGACCAAAGGGCGTAAGCAAAGTCACACAATATCCTGAACTGCGTGGCACAATCATGTCGCTAGAACTCTGCGACTCTGATCTCACAGCCCCTACTCTGTGATCACAGTCAGAGGGTGGGGTATGACTGAGGGAGAGCCGCAGTTGTGACATACCCCTTTGGAGCGGAGTGGTCCAGGACATTCTCATGCAAAAGAAAACACTATCGTTTTACACACCCCCTTCTTATCAAGCCACACCCTCCTCTCTATCCCCAGTGTGACCATATTTTCAGATTCCTTTTCAATTGGTCGAGAATTTCAGGCATATATACAATGAACTATGGTCACTCCACCCCTCCTTTCTCCCTCCAGCTCCTCCGGGATCCCCCACCACACTTCCCCTCAACTTAATGTTGTCTTAAAAAACAGCAACATTCATGCTCAACTGTAACAAATCAGCTTTACCCGCCCATCATGTGTGTGTATAGGGGTGAGTGGATGTTCATATATGTGTTTAGGTATTGAGTGCACATGTGTGTTCATGAGTGTGAGGCCAGAGGACAGCTTCTTAGTGGGCTGAGACTTCCCAGATAAGCTAGTTGGCTGGTCAGTGACTCTCATGGATCTACCTATCTCCACCTCCCCCACCACTGAGATAATATATGTGTGTCACCATCAGTGCTTTTGTGTGGGTTCTGTGGGTTGAACTCATCCCTCTGTGTCGATGGCAAACGCTTGACAGTGAAGATATCTCCCCAGCCCATGTCTCTTTTCCAGCCAAATTATAATCACTTTGTAATCCAAGTTTCTAGATACGTTTTTGGTGAGGAGTTACTTCTTACACATATCTGCTATTCAGTTATTATATTTTGAAAAATTATTCAGGATTTTTTGTAGCCCTGGTAATGTTCTTTCTCTTTCCACGGAAGACTTTGCCCTTGTTTTCTCTGTTTTCCTCATTTATTGAGGCAGTTCCAGTCAGCTCAATTGCTAGATGCTGCCCGCCACTCAAATTCTTGTCTTAGGGTTAATTTAATCAATATGCTTTACTTTCCCCGGGAAGGATGTATTTCTAACAGATTTGCCCTCAGTATTTAAGTACTCTTGTTTTCGTTGGAGCCGGCATGCTCAGAGCATTAATGCAGGCTTGTGCCTGCTCATTATCTACAGAAAGCCAGATGCTAAATTAATTTGCTCTTCTCCTGTGTTTCCTATACCCTGTCTGTGTTGTGTTCTGATGGATTAGGACTTGCTGAGTGCCAGGGGCAGAATGGTCACTCTGTTTATCATGTTTTTGCTCCTTGCCCCATCCTCCTGGCCAGATATCATGCCCTTTATCTCGTGAGTCACGGGAGGCCATGGATACCATCAGCTCCACAGTTAAGACCCAGTGTGTTTTCCACACGACACACTACCTTCTTAATGTGCCTTACTTCCTCTCATTGTTTGCAGTTTGTTGGTTTTCCTTTTTCCAGATAGCTCAGAGAGTCTGTGGATACTGGTAGCTAGACACTGGTGTGCAAAGTCTGTCTTCCCCAGCATTGTCAGGGAGGGAGCTGGGATAGGAGATCCCTGGCTTTCTGTGCACCCTGGCTGGAGGCCTCCCCCTGCACGTGCTAGGCTTCTCATGCCAAGATTTCCTATCATGTGCAGAAATGAGTTTTCTATGTCCCCCTTACCAAGACTTCTTCATTGAATACTGCCAATTTATTGTCCTCCCTGCCTCCCGATAGATGCCCAGTTCTGAGCCCTGCTGCCTAAATGAAGCTCTTGCTTTTGTAAACTGGGTCAGATTGGGAAATCTTTCCAAACCTACTTTTTGGCACCCCAGGTGAATGTATGAGGAAGTGGAAAGCAGAAAACCAATAGGCAGTCCTGTGAGGACTGTTAATGGTTAAACAGCTCAGACAAATACCTGCCTTCAGCATCTTATAAAAATGTTACCAGTTACCAGTGTTCTCGCCAATATTCTCAAACCTGCAAGGACAGCTGGACCAAGAGACCAAAGACCATCCCTGCCACCTCCAGCCATCAACTTCTTAACCTTCTTTCCCCTTGCCAGAGACGGGGTATAAAAAGTGAAGTAAAGGAGGCTGTGACGTGTGGCAAAATATCAAAGCAAGAAAGCATCTGATGAGTGTGTCCTGAGTGCACAATGAACAGTAAACCCCAAGAGAAGAGTGTAAATACAGAAATAAGCCAGTAACTGGTGATACGGGTGTGCGTTCCAGATGTGACAGAAGCCATGTGGAGGAGGGTATTAGAGGGGACGGGATCTCCACAGTGGTGACACTCAAGCTGAAGCGTGGAAGATGAGAGCCGCAGGAAGTCCATGAGAGGAGCCTTACAGGAGCCGTGTAGGAAAAGCCAAGGACAGAGGCGTCAGGCAACACACTAGGCTTGTGTATTGTGGCGGCACAGAAGACAGAACTCTCTCCACGCAAGTTCTGAGATAACCTCTTTGTCCTTACCCTACCTTGCCTACCAAGCCCAGCTTCAAAAGATGGCCGTTATAGGCCATCCACATCCCATGGGGTCAAAAAAGAGTCACTCCCATAGTCCCTTGTCTCTAGGCACAATGACACAGAACTGGCTTTTATCTGGAGTCAACTCAGATATAAAGCCACTGGACGGATAGAAAAACTGCGGAGTAAGCCCACAAATAACTTGTCTAATCTGGTGACACAATTTGGCAATAATAATATTAATATTAATAAATCTGGTGACACAAGTTGGCAATAAAAATCCATTCTTTCTTTAGTTATAAAGTTTGCCTTCTCTGAAGAAGAGGCCAACCTTCTGGGGCTGGCTTAGCCAGCAGCTCGGACCGACGTACTGAGAAACAGTTCTTTCTACACCAGACAATGACACCATTGGTTTTTGGTGTGTTGGTTAAGCACATATCCTATATTAGGTATATGTTCTGGTTTCTGTGTTCTTTCATGAATGGAACCAGATGAGGGAAGTCCCCGAAGGTTGTCACTGGCAACCACACTCCTGATGGGCACAGCTGTTGGGTTTGGGGTCAGGCAGAAGGCTCCAGCACTTTCCTGTCTGTTTTTCTCCAGCAAGAAAAGTCAGAAGGCACAGAGAGGTAGGAGTCTGGATTCCTGCCCAGGAAGTGGAAGTGATTGTTCAATGCCAGAGGCTCTTACTGATCGGTTCCCGAATAGCTCTGCTAGTAGAAAGAAGACTATGTAAGGAGTCGTAAAGATCTTGTGAACGCCATCAACCATTTAACTTATATATCTTGGGGAAGAAAGGGAATTCGATACAAGAAAGTAGGAAAATGCCATGGAGCAGCCTGGGGACAGTTATAGGAGAGAAGAAAGCAGATAGAAGAATGTCTAAACCCATGTGGCATTGGGAAGGGGTAAGAATAGACAATCACAGTGACATTTCAGTCAAGGGACAGAAGATTGGGAAGGTATGGGCAATGTTGTAGCTGGGAGCCTTCATCCTGATCCACAGACAGCAGGCAGAGAGGAGGGGAGAGGAAAGGAAGGGAAAAGGAGAAGGGCAGGAGAATGTACCGGGGCCTGGTGTGGGCTTTTGAAACCTCAAAGCCCACCCGCAGTGACACACCTCCTCCTAAAGGGGCACTCTTCTAACCTTCATAGCAGTTCCCCTGGGGACTAAGCATGCAAATACTTGAGCCTCTGGGAGCCATTTTTATTCAAACCACCACATGAACATATTCCTATAGTTTAACGCTATCTCTCCCTTCTTCCTTCACTTCTCATGGGGGTCTAGGTTTTGCTGTGCATCACCTACACCCCAACATTTGACCTGAATGGGAGTGCCGTGCTGAAGATCGCAGAGGTGAGTATGCCAGCTGCTCACAGTGGCTTTCCCCCTAACTGGGGGGGATGCTTGCCTAGATCTGAGTTCCAGCAGAGAGACTCTGACCACTTCTCCGGTGACTCTGAGGAGTTCCTGCCGGTTTGCTTGGTGGGAAACACCCTGGGTGACTGGCCACCCTTACTCCTAATGCCATGGGTCTTAGGACTCTGCAGGCTTGAGACTTTAGATATGAAAGCAACAGCACCAGGCTCCCACTCCACTGCACCCGGGCCTTTTCTTTCTCAGTCTGCGTTTTTCCTAAGAATAATTGCAAAGCGCTTCCTGTTTGTTTAAGAAGCCAAGTGTGAGATTTCTAAAAATGTTTATTGATCCAATTCTGTCTGCGCTGAGAAATGCACTCTGTGGCTGTCATTGACAAGGTCCGTTTTTCCCATCTGTGCTCCACTGGAGTCTCATGTGCCTTCTAGCACGTTCCAAAATGTGTCCAGCAGAAAACCTGACTCCTTGAGAGTCCAGCATGTGCCGTCATGTCTGATAACAGTGTCCTCTCAGAGTTGAGCTTCACTCTGCCTGGGGGAGTTTTCCTTCCCTTCCTTGGAAAGAATATTTTCAGCATTAGCTTGTTCTGGTAGGAATACATGCTCAGACCGTGAAGCAGCAATGCTTCTCTGTATTTGGAAATCATGGAATTCAACCTTTGAGCTGCGTTTCTGAAAGTCCAGATAATGTGGAAACTGTCCATGGCTGTCTAAAGAGAAGGAGAAGTCAGCTAGCGCACAGCACACATGAAACCGCGTTCAATCGCGGATTTGTAGAGATGGATAGACATTACAGGGGGAAGGGGCATTTATGTGTCTTGGTTTATATAAGCTAATAGTGAATGAGTGTGCTCAGGTGCTTCCCTGTTTGGTTGGATCTTGCCACCCTCATCCTGAGGGGGTCTCCTAAGTTTCTCTCTCTCCTTCCCTCCTTCCCTCCCTCCCTTCCTCTCTTCCCCACCCCCCATCACAATCACTCCACCTCATAGCCTGGTTGTTCTAGTTAGACTCAAAACCAACATTCCACACAGATGGTTGTAGGGTAGTCCAGAGGACAGTGTTCACCATTGTCTTTTTAAAATAGTTAGGGGAACAATTTAGGAAAAACAAAACAAACCCTGTAAGTCATGTGAAACTCCTCTGGGGATGGCGGGAAGGAATCCAGCTCTTCTTTCGCCTCTCTGTGGTAGACAGTGATGATCATTCAGGATGTCGCTTACCCTGAAACCTGTTGATCAGAAAGTGAGATGTGTACTTAAGTAGAAAAAAATGAGCCTGTTTTCCGGAGGTGCTGTTGAGACTCTGAAAGGATCATTAAGCTTTCAAAATGTAAATATGAAGGCAATCTTGGTGTGTGTGTGTCTAACAGAAGTTCACTACATTAACCTCTAGTCAGAAAAGGTCTCCACAAGCGTACCTTCTGTGTTACATGAGGAATTTAATAAAACAAAAGTGATCGGATTTGTTAAACAGGCAATTACAAAATAAGCAAGCATTGTTAGCGATTCAGATTCATGGCTGTCATTACCAGTCCTCCACGTGGACACACTGTCCTGATGGTCAAGGTTAAACCAAGGCTTCTTTTAGCTTTCTGCATAGGTTAGGAGACATGTTGAGTTTTCCAAACACAGTCCCTCCCTAAATACAGGGAAAGACCGAGGACACAGAAATTGTCAAGATCTTCCATGAAAGAAAAGACGAATCATAGCCAAAAGCAGTCTAAAGCTGGTTTGAAATATGTATTTGATAGTTTGGCCTTATTGATTCCTGGGAACTTCTAGTCTTCCTGCCCCCACAAAGCAAGCTTGTTGATCTCAGGAAAATCTCTTTCAGAGCCATTGCTGTTAGGTTTTGTTTTCTAACAATCTTATTTCCACGGATCTCCCTCTATTACTCCTCCTACCCACTCGTCTGTCTTTTCCAAAACAATGATTAATACAAGCTCTCTGTCACCAAGTCCCTAGAGCACGGCTCTGTATCTTCATTCTCCTTTTCTCTCTACTCCACCCTGGCTAAATAAAGAACCCCAAGCCGAGTAAAGTTAATTTTCCTGCCCTAGTTTCCGCAGCTTGCTATTTTTTCTTTTTACACAATTTCTTTATTGTTTCTTTGGAAATTTCACATCATTCACCCTAATTCTGCTCACACCCCAGTACCCCCATATCCTCCCTCATTCCTGCAGCCCCCCACCCCAGAAAACATAGTCTGTTTGTATTACAAGCACATTCTGCTGTTAACCACTCTGCTATGTTGCTCACTGGGTACCATCAGTCTTACAAAATGACAGCCTTTCCTTGGGTGTTTAATTAGATAATTGAGAATACTGTTTTTACAGAGGAAGTTAAATAATGATGCATTTAAATTTTGTTACTATGGATTCCATGACTTTTGGCACTATGCTGACCTACCACCTTGAACAAGTTCAGTCCACAAAAGTGAAGAAATGTTCTCAGGAGTTTCTTCACACCCCAAAACCTTTCCTTTTGCTTTCTGTCCTGTGCCCCCATCTCTCTATTGGTCCTGGTTTGACTCCTCTAGCCTCTCTGTTCATGGATTACTTACTTACTACTAGATAGACTTGGAGGGGGCTGGTCTTTCATTGCAAGGATTATTGCATCTCTGTTTACCTCTGATTTGATGGTCCTGCGTGGAATTGTTTGTAGTTAGAAAATACATAGAATAATGAGAACCCTTCACTTTGGGGCCAGTTCATAGGGGAAAGGCTGGGTCTCAGTAAACCTGGACTCAGCAGAAGGCCCTAGTTGGAATGGTGTGGGAATTAGTGAAGTAGAGTTTCTTAGGTCAGTGTAATGCGCTGGTGTAAGCCCCAAACACAGAACACAACAAACATGATGGAGGAAGAAGAGTTTTCCATGTATGCCAAACTTAGCAGGATTTTACCTTTCAAGCTAAGATCTAAAAGAAGATACAGCAAACTTCTTTATCTGGCATTGTTGCCCAAAGTAAAACATACACTGACTTTCTAGGGACAATTCAACTGAAATTCGGTTTGGTCAGTGTATTCCATTCTTTTCTGTTTCCCTCTCTCGAAGAACAGAGGGCCTTGCAGAGAGAAAGAAAAGGAGGCACATTTTAAGCAGGCCTTCATTGCTAGGCCTGTCCTTGCAGCTTTGAGAATTAGAGCTCTGAACCCTCACAAGCCGTGACATTCAGCGTGAACATCAAGTAAGAGGTCCCACCCCCATCCCCCGAATCTGGGATTTCTCCATAACTAGCCACCAACAAGCCTTTTTAGCTTTAACTAGAGATTCAGGATCACAGATCCAAGGAGGCGTCCTCATCAGAACAGAGGACAGAAAACAGGCAGGACGGCGGCACTGGGTATCTTTCCCTCACAGTGGTCCAGGTGTCTCTCGGGCTCTCAGCTGGCATGTGGCTTATGAGGCGGAGTGTCTCCTCATGAGTGCAGGGTCACTTTTGCTTTGGAGTGCCACCTCCCAATAGAATACACTGCTTGTGAAAGAACTCAGTGAGCAGGGTTTTCAGCATTTCCCCAGAAGACTCGTTCCATGACGAGGCCTCCTGTATGCAGGGAAACCCAGACTGTGGCTTCCCACCCAATAGTCTGAGCTGGATCACAGGAAGCCTCAGGCGGGGGCAGCTCAGTGGCCAGAAAATCCTTCTTCCCACAGGTCATTCTACCTTTGTCTTTGTTCAGCATACACAGCGACAGGTATCACACAGTCAAACCCATTATAGCTCCGAGATTTCCCACATCTAGTGCTGCTGTGAACCAAACGGAGCTTTATCTATCATCTGAGCTTCTTTTAGAATTGTTTGGTTTGCAGAGCGGTGGTGGGACATTCCTTTAATCTCAGCACTCTGGAGGCTGAGGCAGGCAGATCTCTGAGAGTTCGAGGCCACCCTGATCTACAGAGTGAGTTCCAGGACAGGCCTCAAAGCTACGGAGAAACCCTGTCTTGAAAGAAATAAAGAAAGAAAGAAAGAAAGGAAGGAAGGAAGGAGGGAGGGAGGGAGGGAGGGAGGGAGGGAGGGAGGGAGAGATTGAAAGAATTGTTTGGTTCACAAACCCCTGCAGATGTGCTTTTGCCTATGAAACTTGGAAACATGAGCTTATCATTGTGATAATGATCAGGGAAAGAGTTCGCAAATGCTTGAAAACAAAGTTTAAAATATGGCTAGTTATTGTTTATTAATAAATAGTTTAAAGTCATGCTGGTCCTTTCAGAAGGATTTGGAGGCCAGAGCAAGAGGACCCAGAGCAAGTCCAATGCCAGTTACAAGAGAACAAGAGCTTATTGAACATTTAAAAAGCTGGTATTCTCTCTGCCCGATGCCGAGGACTGTCTGTGATAACCGATGTCTGGCGTGTGTGCATTATTTTGTCTCCTTCCCAGGTGTGCATTGAGACCTACACATGCAGCTGTCACCAGCGCAGTATCAACACTGCTGTGCGGGCCACTCTCAGCCAGATGTTGAGCGACCTGACTTTACAGTTACGACAGAGGCAGGAGAACACGGTGAGCGAGCTCATCACGTTGCATGTCTAGCGTGGGTTTAGTGATGACGTGTGTGATTACATGCCATATGTCCCGGGTCCTGGGCCCACCCGTGCTGCCATGGCTACTTCCCACTTAAACACTGGGAAGAGCTTTTTATTGGGTTGTTTATATAAGGTTAGCTATATATATATTTGCCTATTTAGCCCCAAAGATTGGAGTGCTCTTCCTTATGGTTTTTGTAATAAAATACAATAAAATGTTGATTGTTTTAAGTTTTTACCTTTTTCCTTAAAAAAATTCTGGTTTTGAAAACTTTTGCTATTAAGTATCTTTTTTGTTAAAAATATCACATAGATGGCTAGAGAGATGGCTCAGCAGTTAGAAACACTGGCTGCTCTTCTAGAGGACCTGGGTTCAATTCCAAGCACCCACATGGCAGCTCACAACTGTCTGTAGCTCCAGTTTCAGGGGAGCCAACGGCTTCTTCTTGCTTCTCAGGCATCAGGGATCCATGCAGGCAAAACACCCATACACACGAAATAATTTTTTTTAAAAAAAATTAAAACACATTGTGGTAGTTAACCTGTAAAATGAAAAACAAGCAGCAGCTCGCCGCGTGCTCTGAGTCTGGATGTGATTTCCTGTGGTAATAAAGTAACAACAGTAGGCTGTCCCCCACCTTCCAGAGCCAGCAGTGTATCTCATGACCTCAAAGCCCACTAGAGTTTTCTGCTCCAAACTTGCACAGATGGCCTAACAGGAGCGTCCAGGAGACCGAAACACAGCTTTTTTGTGGGTGTTTTCTTCTCGAGGTGTCAATAAGACATACGTCTTCGAAAGAAGTGTTTTCCTCTGGCCTTAAAATCGGCCTCTGTAATAAGAACTCATTAAAAGTCCCATAAAACCAGACAACGTGCTCACTGAGATGGAGCTCATTATTTTTTAGGATAGGAAATCGCAGTTGGGGTTGGAAATATTGCAGATGGAGATGGGTTTTTCAGCAGTTTAATTTCAAATATTTCTCATTTTTTTGTACTTCAGCTGTTTTCTAATTTTCGAGGAAACCATGGACTTGAAAGAAACCCTACAGATAGTCAAGTCAACTTTCTGCATTCCTTATTTTACAGATGAGATAATAAAGCCTGCAGAGATATAATTGAGCTATAAAATTAATGAGCTCTCCTTGAAGGAAGCAAAGTTAAGGCCTGGACTCTGACTCCCAGTGTTCTCCATCTACTTGTACTCTGGCAGCCAGTGCAGGCAGGCAGCAATAATTCGGAAAAATAAATACTGGTTATTTTTCCCCTTTTGCATTTGCTATACCCAAAGCCCGAATTTCTGATAAACCTAGATATATGTTACTTTAGCTAACCCTGAGTTGAAAATGATCTCATTTGTTCTATGACTTTAGATATGATAGGTATAGGAATGTTGGCTCAAGAGAATCTATAAATGGAAGACATATTTGGAGAAAAGAAGGAACTTAAGATGCCAAAAACTCTACAATAATATCGTATTGCATCCTTTCTAACTGGTGACACAATTGAATATTTTACTATTGATAATACTTGAATGCAATATTTCAAAGTACTCCCAATTATGTTCATTTACTCTTATTTTTGTAATTGTAAGTAGAGGGCAATCATAATAATATTTTGGGCAAGGTAATGTTTTTACTTGTGACAGAACATGCCATATAGCCCAGCAGTATGGTAGGCTAAATCATTTTGGGTTTTGTGCATATAATTTATGTCACACAATGACAAAAATCACTTAGCAGTGACATTCTCAGAATATTTCCCTACCATTAAATAGTATATAGTTATGTTAGATGTCAAGTCACGTGCCTTGGCCTTCTATTGCTTAGGCTTTCTTAAGAATGGTAGCAGGCTCAGCTCAGGAGGTCTGGCTGTACACTGCAGAGGTTATATGTCTCTCCCCTGGGTTTTTTGTAAGCAGTCAGCCTGCCGGTCCTGCTCATCACTGACGATCTAGACTCACCCATGTGAGCAGTCAGCCTGCTGGTCCTGCTCACCACTGACTGTCTAGACTCGCCCCAATCACAGGCAAGGTCCAAAATCAAATGGACAATTGCTGCTCCCTGTGACTTTGTATTTCTCAAGTAGTCCTTTGCAGATGCATTGCCTGTCCCAGAAAAATAAAATTCTCCGGATGGTAACCTTGGAAGCATCTGTGATTCTAGTAGAGGAAACTGTCAGATTTTCCACCTAAAAACTAGATATTTTTTCAAAAACAATTAAAGAGGAGTGTCTATCAGAATGATAAAGTTTGCTCTAAGGAAATTATGCGACTCCTGGGAGACACTCAGGATCACCAGAGAAGAATATATATATATATATATATATATATATATTATATAGCATGACTCATCACTGGAAAGGCATCCTGGGCCGACTGAGAATTAGGAAGACCTGGATACAGAAGAAAGACAGTAAATAATGCAGACTACAAAGATATTATCATAAAATTCATCTTCCACATAATGTGTGCAGCACCCGCCCCTCTCCCAGGCCAGGCCAGACCACAGTTCTGATTTCGTATCCTTATAAATGCTGAGTTATCATCTCACTTTATTATTGAATTACTTAGATGACCACATTCATTGCTGACTTGTAAGCTGCTGATTTTTCAAAGTGAAATTGCCACATATAAATATGTAGTGGTCAGATTATCCCTATATCTCTACCTTTAAATGTCATTCTGTTGCCTCTCTTAGAAAATGTCTTGGAGACATTGATATAACATCTCACAAAATCTGCCTTAGTAGCAGCTGCATTTGCTGATTTTGAATATAGAGCAGTAGATATATGTGCCTGTATTGAGTCTTAAAACTTGTAGCACCATGGGATGATTTACATGTCAGGTAGCTAACTGGCATGAGAATACCCTGCCATCAAACAAATCCTGCTGTCGAGAGGTAAGGAAACTGAGTCACTTCCTTCCCAGTCTCTGCAGTCACTGAGTTAGGCCTGCCATGAAAACATGAGCCATCTTAACGTGTAAGCCTTTCACTTCCTGTTTTTCCTAGGCGGTATCTCTGCTCTAAGAATTCTGGATCTATCTAGCGGCGGCCAAGATAGGCTGTGTGACAGTCACAAGTTAAATAGGCTCCCCCAACAAGCAGAAAGGTGGTTCTCTGAGCAGTGTTCATCGTTGAACCTGTATCACCAAGTCCAGCAAGGATGGTTCTTCTTATGACTGTGTCTAGATCTGTTAGGGCCAGGAATAGTGTATTCTGTCACCTTGTAATAAATTGTTGCCTGCACAAAGATTAACTCACCTCTTCAGGTAGGACACTGCCCAAGTTCTAGCCCAGCAATAAAAGTACACCATGGGGCTTACAATCCAAGAAGTATTTGAACTCCCGAATAGTTTCTTTTGGAACCTGACACACTCACAGTTTTTTTCATTAGGGTTGTGAGCAATGAAATGCTTCCAGCATGCGTGGGTATGACATCCAGAGTACCCAGGATGCCATTTGCTTTCTGAGAACTTTGCAATGTCTAAGAATCAGGACTTTCCTTACCTGAATCTCCTAATTGTCTTTCTGTGTCTCCCTCCCTAGATAGTTGAAAACCCAGATGTCCCGCCGGAATTCGGGAGTCAAGGTATTGAATTTAGTTTTTTCTAGACCTTTTTAAATGGTTTGGGTGTAAAAATACCTACTTGGTGCATGGAATTGAGGGTATAAAGATGGTCTGAGCTCTGCTTGGCTTCACTTTGCTTAGTATTATCTAACCAGCTACTGCCTTCCTTCTGTTCCTACAGTCTCCTGTGCCAACTATGTGAGGGAAGTTAGCATTTTACATCCCTCCCATTTGGAGGCTTTTTGTTCTCCCTCCCTACCCTCCCTTCTTTTCTTTCTTCCTTTTTTTCTATTTTTCATTCACTATGGGTCCAGGTTTAATTGCTAAAATGAGAATTGAGCATAGAAGCCTGAGTGACATGTAATGTTATTATTCTAGATTTATGTTGTTGTTTTTTTTTAATTCACCATACAGCTTTGTATTAACTGTAGAAGAAATTTACTTATAATGAGAAATGATCTTGTGTTTTTCCCCCCTGGGTTGTCTTTTGTGTGTTTTTCATTTTAAAGGAGTAGCTCTGGTTCCTTCTTCTCTTTTCTATGATTGTTCTAGTGATCTAAAGAGACCTCATGTCTAAAATGCTTTAAAAGCCATCCAAATCACAGGGTGGAAAGGGCACTGAGGGAACTTCTGACACCCGCCAGTGTCTAATGCTTGCACCTCCTCTGTTTTGAAGGCGCTACAGTAGAGGCCCTCTGTGATGACGTTGTCTCTGTCCTCGCTGTCCTGTGTGAGAAGCTCCAAGCCTCCATAAAGTAAGTCCCCTTCCGTCCTGGGTGATATTCAACAGCTGTTCACTTTGAAAACAACTTCTGTCTCCCACATCATTGACGTTATAGAGTATACATCTTTTCAGTAGTTCCCTCCCACTGACAGTTACCTGTCATTCCTGAGAAATACATTCAGAGATCTCTGTCCATCCCTGCTTCTTAAATGCCATGACTAACATGTATCATTGTCTTAAGTGAACATGGGGCAATAGTACCTAGAAAGAAGAGTGAGTCCCTTGATCCCAGAGCAGAGCTGGTGGCTGTGAGAGTGGGTCCTGGCTTGGACATGACTCTACTATGTGACGGCCAATGACCTTTCTCATGAGACATGACTGGACTTTTGTCCTCTGTTAGTAACAAGGTTGGATTATGTAAGATTTTTTCTTCTAACATTCCCTACTCTGGTCCTTAGCTTTTGGCTTTTGGTAGAGAATACAAGCAAGCTAAGTTTATACTTTCTAGATAATAATTAATATATTACTTATTGTATATCAGGTAAAATAATATTATATGTCATATAAAATATTTCAGTGTTACTGTAGGAACAAATAAGAAAACTCCCTTAAAAGTCAACTGATGCCCACCCTCTAAGATCATCAGGCTAACATGATGTAGGTGGGTCTTATTTCTATGTGTTGCTTTCATTGGTTAATTAATAAAAAAAACTGCTTGGCCTGATAGGTCAGAACATAGGTGGGTTGAGTAGACAGAACAGAATGCTGGGAAGAAGGCAATGAGGCAGACTCCATGGCTCTGCTCTCTGAGATGGAGGTGGGTTAGAATCCTCCCGGTAAGCCACGACCTCATGGTGATATACAGATTATTAGAAATGGGTTAATTAATATGTGAGAGTTAGCTAATAAGGGGCTGAAGAAAACGGGCCAGGCAGTGTTTAAAAGAATACAATTTGTGTGTTGTTATTTCGGGTAAAGCTAGCCAGGCGGGTGGTGGGAAGCGGTCCGCCGTTCCTTTTACACTAACAAAATTAGACTTCCTAACTTGTTACAGTGGGGGAGCATGGGAAACTAAAGAACACCCAGTAAAAGCAGATTAGGACTTCATAATACAACTTTAGCTTGAGTTAAGTGATTTTACAGTAAAGTAAGAGTTATGTTCAAGGATTGAGTCTTGTCAGGATGTATGGTCGGTTCTAGTATTGGTATCTTAATTTCTATGTAGTCTATGAAGGAAACGGTTGGTGGCTGAGTTGTCACTAGAGAAGAAGGCATGTCTCATAGGGGAGGGAATTTAGCCAGCTTCCTGAATACACCCTCTGTACTGCCCTGAACCGTGGTTCAAGTGTGGTTGTCTGTGTGCTTGGTCACCGTCATGCACAGGTCTTGTCTGTTCTTAACATTCAGTGGCACCATTGATTGATGTTCATCAGAAAGGCTCATCTGGCTGGCAGCAATGCAGGAGTCGCCACTATCAAAGATGACTCTTCCTCACCCACCCTCTCTAGGCCTTGACACTGATGGCGAATGCAGCAAAGAACCCTGAAACTTTGAACAAATAGGAAGATATTAAATAAAATAGGTTATTACTGGAAAGAAATAAGTGAACCCTTTTAACAGCTTCATAAGGAAAAAAAGTCGAGCTTTTAAATTATACAGAAGTCTCTTCTTTGCAATCCTGATGATTTATAATTAAAATATAGCCATTAGGATAAATCAGAATTCATTGATAGAAAAATCTTCAATTGGGTCCTATAAACACTTGGCCCTCAAGTTATGATTCTTTGCACACTGGTGGCTCCAACATGAGCCACAAAGACCTAGAAGGTGATCATATAATCTCGCTCATCCAGGGCATCCAGGGCTTTTCCTGGTGTGGAAGTATTACAGGCATTTAGCTTTGCTATCTTTAAGAGAGTAGTATTATGTGTGTAGTCTTATAAATGACTCTGTGACTGCCGTGCAGTAGATATTTGCTAATGTTCTGGCTCTAAACTGGTTGGTGAGCTCTGACAATGGCTGGTACTAATTCTACTCTATGATGGTGTTGGGAACATTGGGATTTTTAATGACAAAATTGGTCTGTAGTTTTTTAGGAAAGTTCCAAGAACAAACCTACATAGCAAATGCGTGCTCTCTCTCACTCTCTTTCTTGCTCTCTCTCTCTCTCTCTCTCTCTCTCTCTCTCTCTCTCTCTCTCTTTCTCTCTCTGCTTCTGTCTCTCTCCTTCCCTTCTTCCTTTTCCCCCTCCCTCCCTCTCTTTCTCAAAACCAAAAGGCAGAAGTATCCATCAGCCATTGAACACTTCTTAACTCCGTGATCTGGGGAGAGGCATTAAGTGGCTAAGCAGTTCCTATGGCCCATAACACATTTTTCTCTAGAGTCACAGACAGCCTTAGGCAGGCTGCTACCCTGCCTCAATGGTTTGGAGAGGATGTGCAGTCTTGGGTTTTTGTTCCATGTCCCCTGATCATAATCCTGCCTCTGGAATTTGATTGCTTATGGTCTCTGCCAATAATTTTAGTACCCTAAGGTGAAGGGGTGGGTTTTCTAAGGTTAGGGTGCTGCATGCATCATGTAGCAAAATGCCTCTCTGTTGGCTCTCTAGTGTTCATCCCTTCCTTCTCGAGTGTTCGTATTCACGTGCTCTCTTCTGGTTCTATTCCTCAGCTCCTTCTTTATTAGCTACACCAGACACTTCATCTGTCTTTTCAGTAACTTTTCCCCTCTACAACCCCAATGGGCAGGATTTCTCCTTACCATCATTTTCAAAATCAGACTCCAGATAACTCCCAGGACTTAGTCTCATCCAGACATGTGCTTGTGACATACTCAGTCTCTCTGGAGAATTCTGAAATATTTGGAGGTGCTCAGTACATCTCGCCAACAGGCCTTGCAGATGTGGTAGTAATAGAGTCCTATGTTAGACAAGCTGAGTTGCATGCTCTCTCTCCAGCTCAATTGTTTCTCAGAGAGTAACATGTGACTCCTCCTCTGTATGTCTCCTGCCACTCTGTCCCAGTCTCCTTCTCCAAAGAACATCGGACAGGAATGTGTACCAAAGACAGCATAGACTCAGTAAGGCCAGTCAGAATGGCCATATCAATTGCTCCCATTCTGCTGCAGCTTTTATATAATTGCTTGCTTCCTTTTCTTATTTTTCTAATTAAATTCAAATCTGGACCAAAGGACAGCAAACATTTGGAAAAAAAACAAAAGTTTAAAACCCAACACTGTGAGAACTACAGAGATGCTGAAAATACCGCTGATTATTCTCCCGGGGGGTGACCTCCCTGGCTCGGTGGTCGCTCAGCCTGTATGACCCACTGTCCACTGCAGAGAGTTGTTCTGCTTGGATGTGTACCTGGGAAGATCTTAGCAATGAGCAAGCAATGAAGCAAACAGCACATAATCTGCCAATCATGAAATGCTCTAACAAAAGACCAAGAGGAGTTGCTGATAGCCCTCCTAATTACACAGTCTTCCCACCCCCATGTATCTTGAAAATTTTAGCTAGGTTATAGGCTTGTCCTCTCTCCATGCATACAAGTGTTGGCCTGTCTGCAAGTGTACAAGTCCAAAAGGCTTGCACACTGAGCAAATGTTCAAAGGTCTCTAAGCGAAGAGCATGCATGAAGATCCTCAGATTTTCTGAGCTCCATTTCATAGCATGACTCATGCAAGACCATAAGAACCTGATATCCAGACTCTGCAGCCCACATTTAAGCTGTCGTACTATCTCCAAGGAGACTCCTGGGCCAGTTTCCTTGGTGATACATTCCTGTCAGTGAGGCTGATGTGTGGAGCCTGCAGTGTTTCCCAGCAGGCTTTGCAAATATTTGCCATAACCCTGACAGCTCATCATTTCCCCTCTAGACTTATCCCTGATGACTTCAGAAATTGAGAATCTTTACTTTCTATCTTTACTTTCGTTTTGCAATCCTAGACAAACGTTTGAGGAAGAGATATTTTTGCGTTGGGACATTGAATCTTAAAAATGATCCCAGTTCGTTGTCAGAAAAATTAACCTGAGACACAGTAAAGATAATCCTTCCAGAATTGAATTTTCTTTCCTTTGTAATCTAAGTAACATTTTTCATTTATTTTACATCCTAACCAGTCTCCCCTCCCTCCTCTCCTCCTGTCCCCTCCCTTTTCCCATCTCCCTATCTCCCCATCTCCCCATCTCCCCATCTCCCCATCCACTCCTCCTCCATCTCCATTTAGAAGGGACAGGCTAGTGAACAGTGTGGCTCTACTGTTCAGCCCACTCCAGTCCATTCAAGAAAAATCATTCAAAATCATTGTCTGGGCAGAACTTCTGACATCTATGTTAGGACTCCTCTGGTGTCTCCATCTCTCTAATCCCCACTCCTTTATTTTTATTTTTATTTTTAACAAATCTCATGTAGCCCAGACTGGCCCTGATTCTTATATACAGCTACAAATGACCTTGAACTGATCCTCCTACGTCAACTCCCCACGTATTTTAGGGAAAGAGGCCACTTGTTTGTTTCCCGACTGCCCAGACTCCCAAAATAAGCACACAGAAACTGTATTAATCAAATCACCGCTTGGCCCATTATCTCTAGCTTCCTATTGCTAACTCTTCCATCTGAATTTAGCCCATCTCTATTAATCTGTGTATCACCACAAGGCTGTGGCCTACGGGATAAAGTTCCAGCGTCTGTCTCTGATGGGGCTACATGACTTCTCCCTGACTCTGCCTCCTTTCTCCCAGCATTCAGTTTAGTTTTCCCCGCCTATTTCTGCTCTACCCTATCACAGGCCCAAAACAGCTTCCTTATTAACCAGTGGTATTCACAGCATACAGAGAGGAATCCCACATCACTCAAGTGCTGGGATTACAGACATGCACCACTGTGCCTGCCTTCTAGCTCCATTCTTGCAAATATGATCCTCATATCCTGCGCTTCACCTGACAACCTCCCAGCCCAAACTGCTTCCCCATCTCTCTATGTTTGTCTACACTCTCCTTCACAACTCCACAACACCACAGATACCTGCTGGAGCTTCGAGGCTGTACAAAGGCAGTGTTTCCTGTCACATCCTCCCAGGCCTCTCCGATGGGGTGCTTTTGTTCTGCAGTATCCTAGAAACCTACACGGAGTGCTTCATCTACAGCGCTTGGCATCAGCGCTTGGTCTGTGTGCTTCTCTGTTTTGTCCCACAGTGGACAGTGTGCTATTTTCAGAGCAGCGAGAGGCCACGGAAACGGGGAGGAGGGAGAGGCTAGAAATGGGAAGTCTTTACTTGGCCTGCAGAGGGTTAGTATTGCTTGTCCTTCTCATTCTTCTAATCAAATTATTATTATTCTTCTAATTAAAATTAAATTATTCTTCTAATCAAAACTATTACTGTCCTTTTGCCAAGTGATAGTAACTTCTATGGCAGCTCATCCTTCATCCCCTCTCCCCCATCCTCAGAGTATTTGTCCAATGTGGGCGGCCTTCTCTTCCAGTGTGCTGATGATAATCTTGTAGTGTGGGGAACAAAGAGCTTTCAGACTGTGGGCTGGTGAACTTCTGTAAACGGCCATGTAATGTGTCTCCTCATGGGCTTTTTTAGAAGTTGGCTTCATAGTCCCTTTAAAATATAAAGACACTTTTAAATTCACAGGGTTCGGCCCCTGATCCATAGCTTGCCAGTCAGTTTCAGAGTCTGAAGTTGGTTTGGGGTGTTACTGTAGAGACATCCTCAGTGTCTGTCTCACTCTGCCTTGTCTTGCAGTGACACGGTCTTTGTCATTTCAGCAGGAGGAAGGACTTCTGGCCTCTAGGGCAGATGGACCATTCCTTTTCCCTCTCCCCAGCTTCTGTGCCTTCCAGTTTGCTCTCGCAGCCTGTCCCTTCCCTTCCCCTTCTGCTATACGAATCACTTAACTGTTGAGAACACTGGCTTTTTTTCCTGGCATTTATTTAAATTAGGACAAAACAGGAAGAGCTGAGTGTTATTATTGGCAGATTTCTCCTTTATGGATAGTTCACTCCCTAAGAGATTCTTACATCATTTCTCTTTAGAAGATTTGTAAGTCAAGTAAATGCATTGAAAGCTAAGTTTTTTCCCTTCCTGAGTCTCACCGCATCCTGGAATTTAAGCATCCTTTGTGACACCGAGAGTAGACGTAAGTTGGGAAAATAAGAATGTGTTTCCTATAGAGTTGTCTGTTTCTTTATTTGTGTATCGAGACAGCCTGTAATGATAACTACCCTTAAAGAAAAACAACAGCAAATATATTTGAAACCTGGAGAGATGGCTCAGCCGTTAAGAGCTCTGACTGCTCATTCTGAGGACCTAGTTTCAGCTCCCTGCACATGGTGGCTAACAACTGTCTGTAACTCCAGGTCCAGGGGATCCCATACCATCCTCTAGCCTCCAAGGGCACCAAGTGCACATATGGTACACAGATATACGTGCAGTCAAAAGAGTCATGTACATAAAAATATTAATGTTTCCTTAATAAATAAAGAAGTAATGTGGGTTGTGAAGCAGTGAAGTATTTGCAAGTGAGATAATATGGTTGTTTGTAGGCATTATGTCAGTATTAAATTGCTTGCCTAGCATGTGTGAGACCCCAGCTTTAAGACCCAGCTCAAAGGAAGAGGAAAGAAATGGTGCAGGAGAGATAGAAAAGGACACAATGGTATAAATGGTTTCTTAGAAAGTTAAGTCATCAGAGATAATTAGTATTTCTGGCGTATCCAGGGCTAACATGTCGCCATTTGTACACTCACTGTAGAAAATGTATTATACTGTTATAAGATGCGGATATGATATAGACGTGTGTGAAGGGCATAAGCTATGGCCCTCCTATTTCACACTCAATTGTTTTACAAATACACAGAAATTTTTCTCCAAGATAAGGTTTATTCGTTTCCCCAGATGAGCCTAACTCTATCACTTTGTTAGGGCTGCCATAATGGGGCACCAAAGGCTGGGTGCCTTGCACGGGGAAGCTGTCATCTCCTAACTGTTCTGGATGCTGACGTGTCAAGATCAGGGTGGTGACTCCCGAGCACCGCCGCAGGGCCTGGTCTGCACCTCCACCTCCCCACTTGCCTTGTGGAGTTATCTCCCGGCATCTCTTCCTACAGTCTTCCCTCTGTGTGGGGGGTGCCTACGTGTCCACGGGTTTCCTTTCTGAGGACATCTATTAATGCTAGATTAGGGCCCTCATTTGATGCAGTCACTTTAACTTTGCTCCAGAGAAGGCCACCTGCTCAGCTGCTGGGGATTAGGACTGCAGTCTGAGGGGACAAAGCTCTCTACCGACCCGACGACACCGACCGCTCATCCCCTTGGGGTGGTGCCTAGAGTCCCTCCAGGTTCTGCCCCAGTGCCACTCTCTCGTTTTGCCTTGTGTTTTAATTGCCTTTGTTGTTCCTTTTGTGCTTCTGCAGTGACAGCCAGCAGCTGCAGCTTCTGTACCTGGAATGCATTCTCTCCGTGCTCAGCAGCTCCTCTTCCTCCATGTACCTGCACAGGGGCTTCACTGACCTCATCTGGTGAGAATGAAGCCCTGATGCCCTCACACCAGCCAAGGACTCCAGTAGCTGTGTCTTGGTCCCATCCCACAGTCCCCATGACTTAGTGATAGTTCCATCTATGTTTATGGGTCCTCCAGGTAGGAGAATTGCTTTATTTATGTACATCACCCCAAATCCCTTAAAGAAACTGGTAACTAAACATAACAAATATGCTTCCGGCAGCCCTCTTAGGCCATTTACGGCAATGGGATCACAAGAGACAGAACCAAGTGACTTCTAGGTTCTCAGTCTGTTCTAAGAAGCATGTAAATATATCAGGCAGTCCATGGGCAAGAAATTCTATCCCTGAACTGGTCTCTAGTGCCAGAAGAGTACTTATTACCTACTTGTGTCTAGAGATTCCGGGAAGTGACAGGCCCCACAGTCAGTCAGTCAGTAAGCTATAGACCCCATTTTACTAACAGGGAGGAAGCTGAATGAGGGGTGTCAGTATGGGATTTGAAACTAACCCCTTAAATGACAAACGATTCTGTTTTTCATAGCAAAATGAAACTTGATGAGAAAACTTTTTAGCATTCTGAGCCCTATTTGTTTGCACACACATATATACACACACATACACACACAGAGACGTGCACATGCGCACAGACGCCAATGGTCCTTAAATGTTTCTCTTGACACTTTATTTAACATGAGAAGTGAGGAAGACTGGGCATACTGGGTGTGACATAGGCAAAAGAAGGAGGAGTAGGGACCCCTGCTCTTCCTGGATATTTCTGTGGCAACTATTTGTCTTCCTGGTGGCATTCACATTTTGTCACGTGACTTCTAGTAAGGCCTATTTTTCCTCCCTCCTCTTCCCAGGAAAAGCCTCTGCCCAGCTCTCATTGTGATCCTGGGGAACCCCATTCACGACAAAACCATCACCTCTGCTCACAGCAGCAGCACCAGCAGCAATGTGGAGTCGGACTCGGCCTCTCCTGGTGTGTCTGACCACGGCCGCGGCTCAGGCTGCTCCTGCACTGCACCTACCCTGAGCGGACCTGTGGCCCGCACCATCTATTACCTTGCAGCCGAGCTCGTCCGCTTAGTGGGGTCAGTGGATTCCATGAAGCCAGTGCTCCAGTCCCTCTACCACCGTGTGCTCCTGTATCCCCCACCCCAGCACCGGGTGGAAGCCATCAAGATCATGAAAGAGGTAGGGAGGTGTGGGAGAATGCCATGGGTTTGCCCACAGGAATCTCTATGCAGTGTCCTACGTGTAGGAGCATCTAAACTGTTTGTCATCCCTTGCTGGGGTGTCATTGCTATCACATGGAACCCAGTAACCATTATGAAGTTGGTGGGCATATATTTTAGGAGTTGTGGATTTAAAAAAGGAAAATGTTAGAGACATTCATTGGTTTCAAACTCTTTGATAATTAGCTATGTATTTGTTAAAATTTGCTATGTGTTTGTTAAAACTCTGATAGATGTACACCTGAGATCTCATCCTTTTGGTTTGGGTTCTTTTCTATGCAGATATACATGCTTGGCACCTTGGCAAGTCAGATTCCAAAATGACTTGCCAGGTGCTGTGGTGTATGTACGTAGTTTCAGCTACTCAGGAGGCTCAGCCAAGAGGATGTCTTGAATCAGGCATTTATTGTTATAGTGTGCCATAAAGTTGGGAGTCGATACTAAATACAGCACCAGTATGGTGACCTCCTAGGAACAAGGGACCACTGCCTAAGAACTAGCCCAGATCAGAAACAGAATGACCTAATGCTTGAGACAAACACAAAAGAGCTTTGCTGGTTTCTTGCTAAAAGAAATCCTTCTTCCTCTTTCTCCATGTGTTCTGTCCTCCCAAAGGTCAGAACCCAGGATAGAAAGGCTTTGTTTCTGTTAATAGCCATTCCAGTGAGCTGCCTCATAGCTTTGAGGATGAATTGCAGTTATTTTCAAGGTACTGCAAAAGAGAATTTTCTGTTCCATCAAATCCCCTCCCCAGAAATTACTAAGAAAAGGAATCAGTGGTTTTGTTTTTGTGAACTTCTTCATAAAGGTTAGTGTCCTAGGTGGACATTTTTTTGTTTGTTTGGTTTTCCATTTTGTTTTGTTTTGTTTTGTTTCTGTAACAAAGCACTCTGACCAAAAGCAACCTTGGGAGGAAAGGGCTTATTTATTTGGCTTACTCTTAGAGATAATAATCCATCACTGAGGGAAGTCAGGGTAGGAACCCAGCAGAAACCACAGAGGAAGACTGCTTACTGACTTGATATCTGGCTAGCTCATCTAGTATTTTTATACAGCACAGACCTATATGTAGTAAGGAGTTGCGGGCAGGCCTGCTTTTCATCCTGCCCAGCTCCCGCACGGCTAGCTTAGCCCCAGAAATAATAACACATAAGTTGTATTCATTTAAATACTGCCTGGCCCATTATCTCTACAGAGTTAGTTACTGGCTAACTCTCACATCTTGATTAACCCATTTCTAATAATCTGTATCACACCATGAGGTGTGGCTTACCGGGAAAGATTCAGCATGTCTGACCTGGTGGCTGGCTCCATGGCATCTGCCTCATAGCCCTCTTCCCAGCATTCTATTCTGTTTACTCCGCCTACCTAATTTTCTGTCCTATCAAAGGGCCAAGGCAATCTCTTTATTGACCAATGAAAATAACACAATAGACAGATAACCCTCCTCCATCATTTCCCCTTTTTCTGTTTAAACAAAAAAGAAAGGCTTTCATTTTAACATAGTAAAATTACACATAACAAAACAGTTATCAAGCAAGAATTACAGTCACAATATTTATAACTATATCTTTATCATAATAATGGAAAACTGTAACTACGACTATCCATTCTTTAACTCCATCAAAGACTCCAGAAGGATATATTACCTAAGTAAACAAGAAGTAAGCAACTTCCAAAACTCTAGAAATGACAGAGACATCTCACTGCTTGGCCAGTCACCCAAAGTTCCTCTGTATCGTTGGGGCACCCATCTTCGGCCTTCAGGCCCATAATATCCAGAGACATTTCCATGAAGCAGGAAATTTCAAAGGCAATTCAGTCACTATCTGCTGTGTCCTGCAGAATGTCTCGCAGACTCTTTTATGAATCAGGAACCCCGAAAGATCATCTCACCTTTAGGCAAGTTCAGCAGTCCTCTCTCTGCGGGTTCTCTGTGTCTAGTTTATATAACAGTCCAGGCAAGAGCAGTTTCTTGCCCAAATGACTAACCAACTCCATAAGGAGCCTCTTCGATGCCCATCTTCCTCTTGAAGTAGATTGGTGCTGCCAGGAGCAGACGTGTCTCATTGTCATGAAAAGTCCTAAGTTATTAAAACATTAAATGCCATGTTCTGTAGTCTTTGAAAGATATGAATGTCTATCTGAAATATATCTATGCACTTCTAGAAAATCAGACTAACATTACTACAAGCTAGTATTATCCATTAACAACCTATATTTTTAATTATACATTGCATTTTTAAATAAACTACTGACTTGATATCTGGCTAGCTCATCTAGTATTTTTATACAGCACAGACCTATATACCTAGGGATGGTAACACCCACAATGGGCTGGTCCCTTCTCATTGGTTAGTAATCAAAACAGTGCCCCATAGACATGCCCACAGGCCAGGTTGATCTACACAATTCTTCAATTGAAGTTTCTCCAGGTGACTGACCATAGACTGTGTCAAATTGACAGCCAAAATTAACTAGGGTACTTGGTTGCATTTAGGTAGAGTACCAACACCCCAAAAATCCGAATAACAAAATATGGATTGGTTCAATTTAAGCAATATTGACCATCAGTTTCTTTTAAAGTCTATTTTTTCCTCATCAGAGTATCTTTGCAACTTACCAGGTACACAGTATGTTCTGATAGCTGCCCTCTCAGGCTTAAGTGGTATTACCGTATCGAATCCACACAGAGATTAGTGTATGATGGTGAGGGACCTCATCTGACCAAATCCCGGTGGTCTTCTGTATTTCAGCATTGGTGTCTAGTCTATCTAATCAGATAGCCCTATGGCCATAGGTCAACTTAGAATCACAGCTGTACATGATCTTACTGACAGGCTTTCCAGATAATGATGATCCTTTAATCGTCTAATTTCTCCATCCAAGACAAAAGAACAAAGAATTAAATTTTAATTCCTTCTTGGTAATATTTTCATAAGATCTTATCATAATGAGGAGTTCTGACTCAATAGTTCTAGAAATTGAGTAATCCAGACTTAATAGACAGTCAAGAAAACACGTGAGCACACAAAACCAATCATTATTTCTTCTCTATTCTTTGTCAGACACACCATGTTCATTATAGCTTCAACAGGTTGTGCATCAACTTCACTATTATAAATAGTAGTGGTGGGCTACTTCCCACCGCCGGGCTAGCTTTACCCGAAATAATTGCACGGAAACTGTATTTATTTAAACACTGCCTGGCCCATTAGTTCTAGCCTCTTCTTGGCTAACTCTCACATCTTGATTCAATCAATTTTAATAATCTGTATGTCACCACAAGACTATGGCTTACCGGCAAGATTCTAACCTACGTCCATCTAGGGCCAGAGCATCATGACACTGCGTTCTTCCTCCCAGAATTCTGTTCTGTCTACTCCGCCCACCTAAGGGCTGGCCTATCAAAAGGCCAAGGCAGCTTCTTTATTTGACCAATGAAAGTAACACATAGACAGAAGGCCCTCCTGCTCCACTTTACTGTGACCAATAAAGAGTGTGGCTTCTTTTTCTCTCCATTGTGCCAAGGGATGGATGACACCAAAAGCCCAGTTTTCAGATTCTATCACCACTTGGTTGGTGAGGAATGCATAACTTTGACTAGTCTACTTGACTACCATTTAGGCAACAGGGCCTCTCCACCAGTATTATCTTCAGACAGACCACTATTCTATTAAACTTGAAGCTTTAAGGAGGTGGAATAGCCTTCCTCTCTGTAGGCGGATCCTCAGGGTAAGAAGAGAAGTAAAGGGATTGACCAAGAAGGCTAGGTTCTTCCTCCTAAAGTCACCATTCATGTCAAGAGCTTCACTGCAACACACACACACACACACACACACACACACACACACACACAGAGGGGGGGAATACTTTACTTGGAAATGTGAAGTCTCAGACACAGAAGCTGGAGCCTTGAGGGGCCAAATGACTTGTCCAAATTCCTAACAACAAGTAAAAATAAAACCCCTGGTCCCCTGATTCTAAACCCAGGGGCTCTTCTTATCCATCGCTAACTTCTAGACATGTCACTCACAATGCAATGCAAACACTTCCTGAAGGTCCTTGGCTGGCGCTGGGTCAGCTACCCATTCTCAAGCCTGAGTATAAGAGTCAGACCCTTTCTCTGCCCGTCGCATGCCAGATGACAGCAGGCAAATCGCTTAACTCTAGAATATTCCAATGCTGTAAAGATAAGAAAACCGTAAATTCAAAGTTTATATGTTCAAAGTGCAATGAAGTTTGCCTAAGTACTTTACGAGGCTAGAATAGCAAGCAAAATTAAATAATGTATTTATTATTACCATAAGGAAGATGACCACAAACCACATGGAGGTTGCAAACAGACAGCTCTGACGTTTTTCATGGCCACCTTTCTTCTGTTATATTATTAGACTTCCTTTTAGAGATCACCATTGACAATTTCACCATGGCCCAAGCTCTCTAATCATTCCTCGCTGCCTTCTTCACCATCTGAATTACTATACTGTTTCTAGAGCCTTCTACCAATTTTCTCATTTCCTATCATTCTTTGAGATGCAACGTAATCTCATCTGACTGGCATACTTTACACCTTCCTGCTTCTGTTCATTCCCTAATTTCTTATAAGTGGTCATTTACAGTAGGCTAGACCAAACATGTCCAACCTGCATACTACAGGTAACCTACATCTCAAGATACTCAAACACAAAATAAAAACATGTGTTTTATGATTTTTCATAATTTAAGTTGAATATTTCTCAATCATGAGCTTTGTAGGTGATAACATTGTACCACAATATCAAAACGGAGACCTACCCAACACTTCTCTCCCATAGATCAATACTATTATGCCAGTTTTTCAGAGGGAGAAGTTTGGGCTCTGGGGACAATTATTCACTTGTCTGAAATCCTACATTTGTGAGAAACAAGGCTCATCTGTGAACCTGGGTGTTCCAAGTACAGTTGCCTCTTTGTCACCAAAACCCTTCCTATGGTTGTGTTTTCTTAGACACAAGTCTTACTCTTAACTCCCTCCCACCCATTGACAATTGATGCTCTGCCCATCACATTGATTGCTTCACAGGAAGATTGAAAGAAGTCCTTGTACCCTCCCATATATTTTGTACACATTACTCTTGTGTATTTTCCTTCTCACATTTAACCCAAGGTGCTTCCCAAGGGAACTGTTCAGAGGCAACATTAGATTAGATGCCTCCATGTCATGTGTGAGACTAGTGCTACCCTGGGAAACCAAGCAGATAAATTCCAGCCAGGTCGTTCTAAAAATAATGCCACTGCTTTATAGGACTAAAATGACAAGTTGGAAAATATGGTACCTAGATACCAAAATATGCAGGGTTTTGCACACAAAGAAAACCACTCGGTACCCAGGATGCTTGCTTGCCTTTTTGTGCGTTATTTCTTTGGGTCTCTGTGCCATAGACACTATGTATCTAGTTGTCAAAGACATACAGGACGTTGTGTTTCTTATCATGCATTGTCTTTCTGGTTCTATCTCCTGCCTGATAATAGGTATGGAAAAGTAAGTTCTTTCCCTTGGAATGCCCTAGAGATGTACTTTAAAAGTTTATGGTGGCCAGAGATAGAACACCAAACCACAGATATTGTACCTCTTATGTCCATCTTGAGATTTTAAAAGGTGGGGGTGTGGTTTGGTGGTATAGTATTGGTTAGCAAACACAAGGCCATGTATTCAGTTCCTAGCACTGGGCAGTGGGGGTAGGCAAGAGGACGGGGTGTCTAGGATTGTAACTCAGTGGTAGAGTCTTTGCCTCGCATACACAGGCCTTGAGGTGTGTCCCCAGTGCCACAGGAAGATACAAAGGTCTTTGAATTAGAGAATAAGGTGGGCTTTCAAGAGAAACTGAGACTTTGAAGTCCTCTCCCTCGGGCTACTGGTATAACTTGGTGTTACAGGACATGCTGAGCATGCATGAAGCCCCTTACCCAACTCCAAAGAAAAGCTAAATCTCCATCTCTCAGAGATGCACTCACCCCTTCCACAAAAGTGGAAGACAGAAGAGGTCCCCTGAAGATGCAATTTCTGAGTAATATTCCTGCTCATACTTAGTTGTATACCTCACTCTGAAAATAAAGGGTCATAGCAGTGGGATCTATGTTCTACACAGCTTTGTTAACCATTCCTTAATATAACCTCTAAATGACATTTTCTGTAAATATGCAAAAATATAAATCAGTTAAAACTGAACAATGACAAGAATGTTGTGTGTGAATACTCGTGAGAAGGCAACCCCTGCAGAGAGTACTGGCTTGCTAAATCTTCAACTACTGTATTCAAAGTAGAAACCCTAAATATCCCAATGCTCCAACCTTCATGGTTGGAAAAATAGAGCAGATTAAATTTGAAATCACAAAAAAGGAGAAAAAGTAAGGATAAAACAGAAAGTAGTATGAGAAAAAGCCATGCTGGACTTTTAAACCCATGCTTAAGTCATGGTATCCTGGGGGCCTGTTTTTATAACCCAGACTCATCCAATGGGAAGGAGTAGTAGATGGGCCATCCCTGCCTCGTAGGGCAAGGTGGTGACATCTGCATTTTAACAACAACAACAACAACAAAAGACTTTAAAACAAATAATCATTTCCAGAAATATCTCTTGGCTGGAAGAGCAGACAATGAGATTAGTACTCTAGAAAACTCCAGTACTATGAGTGATAGCTTTGCATTCTGGGTCTTTTGGTCACTGTTGAACATGGATAGCCCCATAAAGAAGAAGAGAAACTTTGGTAGTTGATGGTGGCCTTGATACGTATAAAGGACAAGAATTTTCCCACCTTGGAAAGGACAGAGTAGAGTAATACTCGTTGATCTTAAACTTATGGTTAGAGAGATGGGTCCATTGTTACTTCTCTGGCAGAGGTCAGTTCCCAGCACTCATGTCAAACAGCTCCCAGCTGCCTGTAACTTCAACTCCAGTAGGGTTTGAATCTGATGCTTAATTCTGGATCCAGTGGGCACCTGCCCTTTACGTGCACTCATCCCCAGACACACAGGCACACGTACATAATTAAACAAAACAAAAATCTGTAAAACATACAGCCAGCGTAGCCTCATGTAACATTCCCAAATGCTGGAAATCTGCCTTTGCTTAGCCAGGTTTCTCAAATAGAATTACAGTTTCAGATTATGTGGTGTAATTGTCACTCCCATATGTAGAGAGATTAACTATGACAGTTTCAAACTGATGTCATCACTGTGAACAGGGAATATACCACAGATTCCCAAAGCATGGAGAAAGAACTAGAAAACCATCTTTTGTTGTTTCTGGACCTCAGCTTACTTCCCACACTCAGTCTTTGCACCTCTGCAAAAGGGTCACAGGCGTGCCGAGAGACCCTGCAAACAAAACCTGTCCTCCTGGGAGCTAATCACACGAATATGCCAGAAACCAAAGGAAAGTTTCATGAATTAATGAACCAACTCCATAATCCTCAAATAACTTTCTGTGGAAGTATTCGTGTTGCCTCCTCTTTTTGACCCCATCCCTGCAAAAGAGGATATTTTCTGCATTTATTTGAAAAAAAAAGGAAAAAAAACCCATAAGTCCAAAGAACAGTAAAGAGTCTCAAAATATTATCTCCATTTCTGCAGCTCTCTCAGGAGTAACTGCAAAACAAAAGAACTGTAACAAACTCACTGGACAAACATGGCAACTGGGAAATGGGTGGCTCCTCGCCTAACAAGCAGGAGCTGCTTGCCTTACAGTCATTTCATGAAATGTCATCTCCATTGTACTATGACAGCATGCAGTGGCTAGGGCCAGTAGAAGATATAAATTAAGTCTAGTCAAAACAGTATTGATGGAATAATGATTTATCTTAAGAAAGAAAGAAATTGTATCCTTGGCAACAACATAGATGACTATTACTGAGAAATAAGCTAGCTACAAAAAGTAGCACTTGGTCCCATTCATCTGTGTACTCTAAAAATCCTGAGCACATAGAAGCAGAAAGTAGAATGGTGGTCACCAGGGGTTACGGTGATGGAAGCTGGAGAGATACTGGCTAAGTGACTTAGTGTGAAGTTCTACAGAGTCATTATATAGCATAGCAACTACAATTATGACAGTGTGCCACATTTGATTGTGTAGCTTACTAGCATTTTGTAGCCTCAGTTAATTTTCTGACAACCTACATTTGACATCATTAGCCGGAAGTGCAGACATTTCTTCAGCGCTGCCATCATGCCACAAGTAGAAAATGCCCTGCTACAAAACCTCATGCCCTGAAGTTTTAAAACTACCGTGTAACATTATCTTCAGACTAAGAATACAAGATGTATATGAAATGAATTTGCTGTTTAACTTGGGTTCTATGTTAGTTACTTTTCTATTGCTGTGATAAAACACTATGACCAGGGCAACTTACAAAAGAAAAAGTTATTTGGACTTACAGTTTCAGAGCGTCAGAGTCCATCATGCTGGGGGATTGTGGCAGTAAACAGAAGTCACACAGCTGATTGGTGACAAATCAAACTACAGGCAGGAAGTGGGGTGCTGGGGATGAGATACCACTTTTGCAACCTGAAAATCCACCCCCAGTGACTTACTTCCTCTGTCAAGACCACTCCTTCCAAGCCTCCCTTGGTGTGGGAGGTCCTTCTGTCTACGTGTTGCTATCATTGGTTAATGAATAAAGAAACTGCCTTGGCCTATAGCATGGGAGGAGGAAGGTGGAGTCAGAGAGACACCATGGAGCAGCTGCCAGAGTCAAACATGCCGAAACTTTGCTGTTAAGTCACTGCCCCATGACAATACACAGATTAATAGAAATGGGTTGAATTCATATATAAGAGTTAGCCAATAAGAAGCTAGAGCTAATGGGCCAAGCAGTGATTTAACTAATACAGTTTCTGTGTGATTATTTTTGGGCTAAGCTAGCTGAGAGGTCGGAAACTAATGAGTGGCCCCCTCCAACACTACCTAAACAGTGCCACTATTTGGGATCAAAAATTTAAATGCACAAGACTACGGATGATATCTCATTCAAACATGATATGACAACCACAGGTATTACCCTGAAAATACCTCATTGCATATGTACAAATAGGTCAAAATCTGAAAAATAAAATCTCAAGCCAGAGATTCTTCAGATTCTATGCATCTCCAAGAAAAGATCCTTAAGCTTTCCTCCTGTTTTATGTCCTTCGCTAAAGAAGTACATGTTATTTGATCTCATGACTTTAAAACTTGGTGGATTTTTGAGTTTTGGTTTTTGTGATACTCACTTTTCTGTTCTTTCTCTGTTTTCCTAAAGATACTTGGGAGCCCACAGCGTCTGTATGACTTGGCAGGACCAAGCTCTACCGAGTCAGAGCCAAGGAAAAGATCTATTTCCAAAAGAAAATCTCACTTGGATCTTCTCAAACTGTATGTTCATTTTTCTTTTAGGTCCATATAGATTGGCCAACAGTCAATATTAATGGAGGGTGTGTGGTTTTAAGTGGAGAACTTTACTTGGAATTTTTCCCACCCTGAGTGTGTTTGTATCATTTATTGTCTAGATACCTTGATATTATGCAAATTAGACTTTCTCCTTTGAATACTGTGCAGTTGGCCACACTAATAACTCTTGTATATATTTGGAGAAATGTCTTGATCTTTCATGCCTGGGTGTTATTTTCTCTCTTGAAGTGTTCAACTTCTCTGAACACTTTTCACCTTAACCACAATTTGATGAAATTTTGATGGGTCTACATTAAATGAGATGTGCATATTTAATTATTTACCCACAAGCCACATAAAACATCTCAATTTATATTACTCATAACTTGCCAGATTTCAATGTTGGCTTAAAACTGAATCTACACATAAAGCATACAAAACTTATCTCCTGGAATTATTTAAGGGAAGAGCTTTTTGATTTACAGTATAAGTTGTAGGGCTCTGTTACATTAGCCTCCATAGAAAACTCAATGTTCTGTGGTTTGTGATAATCATGTTGGCATACACCTGGTAAGAATATGTTTACATGGAAACATCTTCATGACTCTTAGCAACAGCAGCTGCCCTATTTGAAGGCCTGAACATAATTGAAAATAAAATCGGCAGTGTCTTTACTTGAATAAAACGACGCATGTCCTTCTGGAATTTTCATTTGTACCCAGAAAAGTTAGTCAGCCAAGAGGGCTATGATTTTAGGTGGGGAAATTTACCTAGAATTTTTCCCTACCTGAGCATGTTTGTGGCTTTTATTGTCTGGACCCCTTGATGTTATACAGGTTAGACTATTTCTTTTGAATACTCTGTAGTTGACCAGACTAATAACTCTTGCATATTTAGGGGTGTTTCTTGATCTTTCATGCCTGGGTGCCATTTTCTGTCTTGAACACTATGTAGCATCATGGACGGCATGACGGAAGCATGCATCAAAGGTGGCATTGAAGCCTGCTACGCTGCCGTGTCCTGCGTCTGCACCTTGCTCGGGGCCCTAGATGAGCTCAGCCAGGGCAAGGGCTTGAATGAGAGTCAAGTACAGCTGCTGCTTCTGCGCCTTGAAGAGCTTAGGGACGGAGCTGAGTCAAGCCGGGACTCCATGGAGATTAACGAGGCTGACTTCCGCTGGCAGCGCCGGGTGCTGTCTTCAGAGCACACGCCATGGGAGACGGGCAATGAGAGGAGCCCAGACATCAGCATTAGTGTCACCACAGACACAGGCCAGACTACCTTGGAGGGAGAATTGGGCCAGACAACACCAGAGGACCACAAGAATGGACTCAAGTCACCAGCCATTCAGGAAGGCAAGGAGACCATGAGCAAAGTCTCAGAACCTGAGGCCATAGACCAGCCCGATGTAGTTCAGAGAAGCCACACAGTCCCTTACCCGGACATCACTAATTTCCTGTCGGTAGACTGTAGAACAAGGTCCTATGGATCTAGGTATAGTGAGAGCAACTTCAGTGTAGATGACCAAGACCTGTCGAGGACAGAATTTGATTCCTGTGACCAGTATTCCATGGCAGCAGAAAAGGACTCAGGAAGGTCTGACGTGTCCGACATTGGGTCGGACAACTGTTCACTGGCGGATGAAGAGCAGACCCCTCGGGACTACATGGGCCATCGGTCCCTGAGAACGGCTGCTCTGTCTCTCAAACTGCTGAAGAACCAGGAGGCTGATCAACACAGTGCCCGGCTGTTTGTACAGTCCCTTGAGGGCCTCCTTCCCCGGCTCCTAGCCCTGTCCAGTGTGGAAGAGGTGGACATCGCCCTCCAGAACTTTGCCTCCACTTTCTGCTCAGGTTTGTAGACTGTCTTTTGCTGTGTATGCACCAAGGACGTTCAGAGCTGTGTGCCTTCGTAGGCGCTAATCTTCCTGCTTGTGGTTTGAAGAGCTTAAGGCAGTGGTTCTCGACCTTCCTAATGCTGCGACCCTTTAATACAGTTCCTCAAGTTGTGGTCACCCCTAACCATACAATCATTTTTGTTACTACTTCATAATTTTGCTGGAGAGTGGCAGAGACAACACACAGGCTTCAAGGCAGTGTAGGTAAGAGCAGGAAGAAATAGCAAGCAGATTGATAGCTGAAGGAGAAAGGGGATGAGGCTGGGTGATGCTCCATTGTCATGGAAGGTTTGAGATGTAAGAATGTACTAGAGGGCTCAAAGGGCTTTACCAAGTCATTGCTGCTAATTAACGGCTCACAATCCAGTTGTAGCAGGTCGGCTCCAGAATACACATCCTTCCTCATATACTGTAGTATACTTCTGGTCCTGTAAGCGTCCAGGCTGGTAATCAGCGCTATATAGCAGCGTTCTGTACAATGGAGTTTCCACCGCGGAACTCTATCTGGTTCAACAGATGCAGGTCCTGTGGCACGCTATGGTGGCGCCACAGGTCTCTTCATCCCTTCCCGTAGGCATGATGCACTCTCCCGGCTTCGATGGAGGGAGCAGTCTGAGCTTCCAGATGCTGATGAACGCTGACAGCCTGTACACGGCAGCACACTGTGCCCTGCTGCTCAACCTCAAGCTCTCTCACGGTGACTACTACCGGAAGCGGCCAACCCTGGCTCCAGGCATGATGGTGAGCATGAACTCTGGCATGGGTCCCCCCACCCCACACCCCCGGGGTGAGGTCTGATCTCAGCTGCCACTGTACAGCCAAGTGTCGGGTCTGTAAGAAGAAACTGGCCATTGTGTTCTGTGCCCTGTTACTCAGCAGTACCCACCATGCCTGTGCAGGTCTGGAGTGGGGAGAACACAGATGTGAAATTTGCACGGTGATTATTCATGGCTTTAATAAGACACCTTTTGTAAGGTGTGTAGGGAGGATGGTGTTGGCTATACTGTGGTTGGCTCCCTTGACTGAAGGAGCCACTTCCATGATGTCAAATTGTGGGTCTAAATTGTGGATCTGCAGAAAGGAATCAATGGCCACTTCTTTTTCGATTGACATATAACCCCCACCCAAGGTTAACTGATGACTCTATGAGAACTTAGGTCTAGTCTCTCTTGGGAACATACACTCTGTCCAGACCTTGTTCTATCCCTGCTGCTGCTGGGACAGCAAGAAGAGGAAACCATGGGAGGTGGCCTTGCAGGTGATAACTCCCCACCAAGAACATAAAAGGTAGCCTCCTGGTCCTTCTGCAGGCTGTTTATCTGACCTTGTCACTAATAAAACAGGTGTGTGAACCTTGGGCTTCTGCCCCCCAGATTTCCTCCCTGTTACTCTTCCCTGCAATGAAAAGCTCTGGTTCAGAGAAGGGGGGTCGTGTTTGGGAACCTGTTCATTCATGGAGCTGTGTCTTTGGTCCCCTTCCGTGGCCTCTCTGCAGAAAGAGTTCATGAAACAGGTGCAGACCAGCGGCGTGCTCATGGTCTTCTCGCAGGCCTGGATTGAGGAGCTCTACCACCAGGTGCTCGACAGAAACATGCTTGGAGAAGCTGGCTACTGGGGCAGCCCCGAGGACAACAGCCTTCCCCTTATCACCATGCTCACTGGTCAGTGGCTCATGTCATGGGGTGCTCCGTAGTGGGGAAGCTGATGTGCTGGGGCCTTTTAGAAAGGCCGTGATGCTTGAACAGGCTTTGAGTAGCAGTTGCAGGATAGCATCATGAAAGCAGTTTAGATGCACTTGCTCTCCTTTTGTCATGGGCGGCCTGTTGTGCTCACTGTCACCATTGGACACCCTCAGCTGTTAGAGTAATGCTGTAGGTCCATCAATGGACTTGTCTTCTCTAGATGCAGGCCCGGAGTTATTCCTGGAAGTTCTCACGTGCTAATAGAGATCCCACACCATTCGGCACTCCTGGGATTTGGCCGCTTGGACTATGAAGCAATTGATTTTATACTTGGCCTCATTCCCATTCCCTGTCAGTGCCCCCTCTCCCCGCTGTCCCAGAATATAAATTAATGCCAAGCATTGGCTTTCCAAGCATCCTTGTCTCCAGTGTCAAAAATTTTAACATCCTCTTTAACAACTAGAAATTTCAAGAGACCATACAGAGAATAGTGTGTTTAGTATCTAGGGGTGGTGGGGTGAGTTTTGGTAAGAACAGATATGTCTGGTTATCCATGGCTTGCCAACAAATGATGTGTTCATCAGAAGCTCTAACAAGCTAAACCTTCAGCCTTATTTTTTTTAATCGGTCTGTGTTCCTAGCTTGACTTCCAGTCTGAACTGTCCTCTCATGGGACATAGAAGGGCATGGCTCTACACAAGATGCCTTTGTGCAGTGTCTCCTGTCTCTCAAAACTCATCAGCTGTTTACTACACAGGGGAAGGAAGGAAGGGATAAAGCTGGAGAGTGTAGCTGGGAGGTTGGATCTATTGATTAAAAGTGTGTCATGGTGTCAATGGTTGACACCAGGACTTTTATTAAGGTGATAAAGTAGTCAATTGGCAGGTGAAAACCCACAATCAGGAATTCGGAGGCAGGGAGTTATTTGGTTAGGAACCATGTAGAGAGACAGTAATGAGGCCCCTCCCTAGAGGGTAGACTCCAGGCACTTTCTTGAATCTAAAATCCTTCTTCTAGAATCAAGATGAAACTTGATAAAAGCAAGTCTAGGTCCCACATCTTGAGGATCAAGACTGTAGGACAAGTGACCAGTTGGTACTTTATTAATCATGATTTTATTTATACCACTTGAAATTAATCATTCATGGGAGCTGGGGAGAAGGCGCAATGATCCCAAGGACCTATGCTTGATCCCTAGCACCTACATAAAACATCAAGCAGAGTTAGGGGATCTATAACCCCAGCACTAGAGAGGTGGATACAGCAGATCCCTGCCATTTGCTGGCAGCCAATCTAGCTGAATCAGAGAGCTCCAGTCTCAGTGGGAGACTCTGTTTCACAAAATAAACTAAAGAGGAACTCGGAGACAGCTGATGCCAGTTTCTGACCTCCACACATATGTACATAAAGACACATACACACATCACACACATAAACATGTGCACAGGCACACACCAAACAATCATTCATATTTGTAAGAGACATGCTTTTAATTTACTATAAGCAATGCTCAGTCTCCATCTGTTCCCACAAACTCCTTTTATTAGGGTAGAGACAGCTGCATAGAATATGTAAGTGCCTTAGAATTCAGCTGAGGATCTTAAATACCAGGTTTCTGCCTAATGTAATCTCTATGAATCTTTTACCCAAAGCTTAATAAAAAAAAAAAGAGTCATTCAATAGATGTCAAAGGAATCGCAGACTATCCGCAGTAGCTGTATTCATCCATCATTGCTGCTAATCAGCTCTAGCATAAGAATATGCTCAGTCGCTCTGCCCATAGGAAAGCTTTTTAATTCTAGGGCAATGATAGCAATATATAGTCTTTTCAAAATAATGCGACAAAAATAAGGTTCTGTGTGAGCTGCGGGAGCTCCTTCCGCTCCTTCAGCCAATCACAGCTGAGTTACCAGCCCATTGGGGCGTGGTCTCTCTCTCTTTAAAAAAGCAGTGGCTGTCCTCCACTTCCTCTTTGGCTTCCAGCTCCGCTTCCGGGCTCCTAGACTCCTTTCCTGTTCCCGCGGAGGGGCTGTTGTCTGGGATGGTAATCTGTAAGTTTTTTCCCCTTTGAATAAATAACCATTCTATTAATCATAATTCTAAACTGGTGTGGGATTGTCTGTGACTTACACCTTCATGTGTGAGCTGGAGCAATGGCTCGGCAGTTAGGAGCACTTATTACTGTCGCAGAGGACCCAGTTCTGTTCCCAGCACCCTGTGGCAGCTCACAACCATCTTTTCAGTTGCAGGGGAGCCAGGGCCTTTTTGTGACCTCCAGGGGCACCACGCATGGCATGCACTTGGTCCATATCAATACATGCAGGCAAAAGCACTGGTAACAAATAAAAGCAAATCATTAACAGTCCATGAAACTTTATAGCAAATTCCAAATGTGAAGTAGGAAGTGGGGTGTGGGAACTTTCTGATCCTACCATTGTGTATCAGGCAAAGCACTACCAACAGTCTCACCATCAGCTAACAGCCTGCTCCTTGTAACATGGCAAGCCATTCATAGAAATGATAAACTTTATATTTAAATAAATTAGTCTTATGCCCAGTACATGGGAACTATTACAAACTGGATAAAATGACCATCTCTGGTAAATGTCATTAGGTCATTGATTGATTCCAGAAAACTGGCCTATTTCTATAATAGCAATCATATAAATTTCTATCTTTTATGACTGTCTCAGTTAGCTTTTCTATTTCTGTAAGGAGACGCCATGACCACAGAAATGCTTATAACAGACATTTAATTGGGGCTAGCTCACAGCTTCAGAGGTTTAGCCCATTATTGTCATGATGAAAAACATGGCAGCCTGCAGGCTGCTGGGGAGGGAGCTGAGAGTTCTACATCTTGATCCACAGGCCACGGGAAGTGAACTGTCCCACACTGGGCATAGTTTGAACATATAATACCTCAAAACCCCCCACGGTGACACACTTCCCCCAGCAAGGCCACACCTCCTAATAGTGGAGCTCCCTATGGGAACCAATTCCTTTCAAACCACCACAATGACCTTCTGATATGTTGCCCAGAAGACTTCATGACGTTTTGTAAGAATCCAGTATAAAATGAAACTGTTAACACTGTGCATTGAAAATCATACTACTCAAGCAAGGGTGGAGTTCCAAATTGAGAAGAAATTTATTCGGCCCTCTTTCCCATACCCCCCAGTGTGTTTCATTTGTCCGTATCAGTTGCCTCCGAATTCATGTTGCATCCCACTGTCGGCTCCTTTTAGAGTGAGGAAATTGGTACCCAGAGACTGAGGTGCCTGGCTTAGACTTAAAAGGCCTCTTCATTCAGAGATAATCAGAATGCCAGACTTTTCAACCCCAGACAAGTCCCTTCGTGCCCGAATAGGACGAATTTTGTTGAGTTATTTTGGGAATTTATTCTTACAAAAATTTGAAGAAGGTAGTTTTAGAACCCATGCTGAACTGGGGCATGGTGTTGTTTCTGGTCTTCAATCAGAAAACACAAATACTAAATTCCAATTCTGTCCTTTGCCAGCCTCGTGGACTTGGGCGATCTACCTATTTTATAGTTGGATCTTAGCCCAAACACCCAAAAATGATACCTTTTTCTGCCTCCTCTTCATAATTTCCTCCCTTGTAAAACAGGAAAAATAAGAGCCCTCCCTTCCTGGTTTGAGTAGTTGGGGACAATCAAATGAAAAAAATATTAACTGAAACAGTTTGAAAATTATAAAGTATTATCACCAGTATGGTTTGAGTTAGAATGAAAATTATTTGACCGGAGAATTATTCTGCTTAGTTCTAGTGGAAGCTGGAGGAGAAATACTAACCCGGCATGGCTGCGTATTCTTCTTAGTCGAGAACCAGAGAAGCAGTGCTCTATACATACGATTAGTGATTATGCCGTGATTTTAAATAAAAAGAGGATCCCCAGATGAAAACATCTTGAGTGAATGCTCTATCAATGGTAGAGACAGAGTTTAGCCTCATTTTTTTCAAATATAAAGCATACAACTACAGGCCAAAGACTGCTTTGTCAATGAAAGAAAGCAGACTGAGGGAATAAAGCAAAGCTTATAATCTTCTCAGAAAAGACACTCTAGGGGGCTGGAGAGATGGCTCAGAGGTAAAGAGCATTGACTGCTCTTCCAGACGTCCTGAGTTCAATCCCCAGCAACCACATGGTGACTCACAGCCACCTGCTATGAGATCTAATGCCCTTTTCTGGTGTTCAGACAAAAATGCCGCCAGAATACTGTATACATAATAAATAAATAATAATTTTTAAAAAAAGAAAAGAAAAGACACTCTATAGTTCATACATAAGAGATACAATGGATTTTTGCTGGAAAAGATATGAATATTATGATGGCCGTTATTTGTTTTTGACTGACCTGCCAAAAGCGCAGGCTTAGGGATGACTTTACTCTCGGCAGATATTGATGGCTTAGAGAGCAGCGCAATTGGTGGCCAGTTGATGGCATCAGCTTCAATGGAGTCGCCTTTCGCCCAGAGCAGGAGAATTGATGACTCCACAGTAGCAGGTAAGACCTTCCACCTTGGGTTTAAAATATACATACATTACACATGTTACCAGAAATCAAATTGTTACATGGCAGCTTAAATAAATTATGACTTTGCCTTGCAGGGGAGAAGGGAGGTAATGAAAATTGCCCTGCTGAGATGGTGATGCCACATTCATTATTTATGAGCACTGTGTGAAACCTGACCCAACACAATCTAATAAATTGTATTTCCTGTCCTAGAACGACATGCAAGTCAGAGATGCTCGTCTGAGGCCTGGAGAACCCCAGACCCTTTGTCATTCATTTTGTCTCTGGAGCTTGACCTGGGTCACCCCTTCCTCTTGTAGGTGTGGCATTTGCACGGTATATTTTGGTTGGCTGCTGGAAGAACCTGATTGATACCCTGTCAACTCCCTTGACTGGTCGAATGGCAGGAAGCTCCAAGGGGCTGGCCTTCATCTTGGGAGCCGAGGGCATCAAAGAGCAGAACCAGAAGGAGCGAGATGCCATCTGCATGAGCCTTGACGGGCTGCGGAAAGCTGCACGACTGAGCTGTGCTCTAGGTACCTGTGGGGATCCCTGACCCGAGGGACGGTCCCTCAGAACTCACTGGGAAAGCCATCCTTTAGAAGGGGTTCTTATCTCCAGATAAGGGTACCTATCTGGAGAACATACTTAGCTAAGGGGTAGATGTTTGTTTCTTCTGAAGGGGTTGCTGCTAACTGCGCTTCAGCCCTTGCCCAGATGGCGGCTGCTTCCTGTGTCCAGGAAGAGAAAGAAGAAAGGGAAGCCCAGGAGCCCAGTGATGCCATAGCACAAGGTAACAGCTTCCGGCAGATCTTCCTGGTGCCTTTATTTTGCTGTGCACACATCCTCATATACCACTGGAGACTGGTCCCCATTCTGTGTGTGATGCCCGTCATGCTGTGCACGCATCCACATATACTACTGGAGACTGGTCACTATTCTGTGTGTGATGCACAATAGCTAATTGCCACTAGTCAGGAACCCCACTGGGCCATAGACTTGAGTCTGTTTAGGGCAAGGGAACCTACCTAATGCTGATAGTGTCACTTTCTCAACAAGAAAGTCATACTGGCTACTAGTGGGAACGTACAGTTTGTTGCTAACAAGAGTGCCAGGGGTCCACCTAGCTGAGTCACCTCCTGGGTCATCATCAGACTAGTAGTGCACATTAGAGACCACTCAGGTCAAAGTAGGGACAGCAAAGTAGCCATTGTTATGAGACAGAAAATCAGATAGAACCTGTAAGAAGGAGGCCAGAGGAACTTCATTCAGAAAAACCTGAGCTTTGTGGACACGGGAAAGGGCCAGTATAGATGAAGATCTTCTAGACACAGGGAAAAGAAGATGTCTTTCCTAATGGCAATGAAAGACACAAGGCAGGCAGCAGGCTTAAGGGAAAATGATCTAAACTATGCTGTTGCTACCCATGAATATGTAAAAGAGCTAGTCACAGAAAATGTGTATTTTTAGCAGAGACAAGCAATTCAGGTCACTGTTCCACAAACAAGTAATATTTTGACATTTAAAATTTTATTTAAATTTAAAACTTTTACATTTAAAATATTTAATTAAAAAACTGTTAACAAGCAAAGGGAAAAAAGGAATAAAAGTTTACTCAAGTATTATGTAGCTGTCAACCACACAAAAATCTTCACATTTTGCTACCCATGGTAGTGTACATCTGTGTACCCCAACTCACGAATCTGAGATGAGAGCATCACAAATTTGAGGCCAGTTTGAGCTGCATAGCAAGAACTTACCTCAAAAATATAAGGCCCTGGGTCTGGAGAGATGGTTCAGCAGTTAAGAATGCTGATCATAAGGACAAGAATTCTCAGATCAGAGCACCCCCATTCTCACATCCGAGCACCCCATTACCAGCCAGGCACAAGACAAAGACCTACAACTTAGGGATCAAACACGCTAAATCAGGCCTCTGCACATGCACAGGTATACATGCCTACACACACATGTGTGCATACACTCACAGAGACACACATACAAATAAAATGAATCATTAAAAAAATTCTTGTGGCTGGAGAGAGATGATTCAGCTGTTAAGAGCACTGGCTGCTTTTCCAGAAGATCCAAGTTATGTTTCCAGCATCCCCCTGGTGACCCACACCCATCTGTATGACTCCAACTTCCCCTTTGACCTCTGAGGAAACTAGCATGCACATAGGCAGATGCATGCCTGCAGGCAAAGCCCTCATACCTATAAATATTTGTAAATATTTAATTCTTACACATACCGTTCCTAAAACACAACACACTAACAAAACTAAAAATGTTCTAATCATAAACAAACACAAAATAAAACAAGTTTCATATTCACGAGGCAAATAATGTTTTCCTAAAAATAACCTCCTTGTAACATGAAAACGGCTGAGTCCCTTGAAGATCGTTTTCTCTGCTTCTTAGTGCTGAGCTTTTATCCAGTTTATCCCACCAGATCTGATGACTGGAAGGCTTTCTTTGAGGATGCACTGCCATTTGGCCTTCTCATTTAGCATAACTGACCTTCTGAGTCAGGTTTTACATCATCCCTCAGTTATTGCCTCTCCATTATCCTTCAAGAAAGCATTCATAGCTCACAGATACAAGTGTGAACTCAGGGACAAATGACATCATGATTTTCACTTGTAAAGAAGTTGTGCTGTGCTCCAAATGCATAGACATACATTTAGGGATGACCATCATAAGAAAGGCGTAAATAGGGGCTGGAGAGATGGCTCAGAGGTTAAGAGCACTGACTGCTCTTCCAGAGGTCCCGAGTTCAATTCCCAGCAACCACATGGTGGCTTACAGCCATCTATAATGAGATCTGGTGCCCTCTTCTGGCATACATGGAAGGAATGTTGTATACATAATAAATAAATCTAAAAAAGGAAAGAAAGAAAGGCGTAAATAACATTAATCAAGCTCAGAGAGACTTGCAGACTGCCGAGAATGCCTTGATGTTATGAATCAGAGTGCACCTGGGAGGACGAGGGGCTAGAAACAGACGGTGTAGCTGGAGTTAGCACAGCACACAAAGCTCACCCGCACTGCCGTGCCTTACCCAGCCCGATGTGCGTGCTGGAAGAAGCTGTACCTAGTTCAGGATCTGTCTGACCTTAGAGTCCCAGAGCAGGGGTCACCTGTGAATGGGGGCTCATCCAACCAGTAGCTTGCATGCGATCCATGGGACCTGTCGAAGAGGCGCTTGCAGTCAGTGAAGTGTATTGTCGCCCTTTGCCCCTGCATGATGACACACTCTTTCATTTCCATCCTGTCTTTCTCCCTTTCTGTCTCCCTTGCTCAGACTGCTATTTTAATAAATGTCTTTCTGGCACAGTGAAGCTAAAAGTGGAGCAGAAACTGGAGCAGATGGGGAAGGTGCAGGGGGTGTGGCTGCACACAGCCCACGTCCTGTGCATGGATGCCATCCTCAGCGTAGGCCTGGAGATGGGAAGCCACAACCCGGACTGCTGGCCACACGTGTTCAGGTGCATGACGGGATCCCCACCCCTGATGGCACAGACCCCACCTTGGGAAGCCTGGGGTGGTAGACAGAGTCTCGTAGGCTCTGGGCTCTGCCAGCAGGTTATGAGCACTTACTGCTCAGATAACATGCCAAGTGAGACACAGGGAAGGAGATAAGGACCCACTGGATGTACACTTTTGGAGAACAGAGGTGCAGAACTGCATTCTGGGAATTGTGATTTATTTGTTGACACTCCTGTGAGATTCAGATATATTATATTACACCAAGGAGGAAAGCCCTGGATTCCTAAGTAGTAGATGGAAGACAACCATGCAGTTTCAATGAATGAATCTAAGATGTGCTCAGGGGTCAATAATACAACTATTATGTGTTTATTAATGTAAAACATCAGACTTAGTATACACACATACTTACATACAATTCTCACTAAAGACATCTAGTTTAGCTAGACACGGAAAAATAAGAATATAATAGTACATCTGTGCAAAAGGCCACTAAAAATTTTGACTCTTAAGTTTTGTGCCACTGAAGTGAAGAGACTCCCAGACAACAGCTGTAACATAAAAAAACAAAATGACAACTCCAACTCTGCAGTCTAAGAACTTTGTCTCTCCAAGCACTGGCATTAGGAGAAGAACAAGGGGGAAAGCTCTGCTCAGTTGTGCTCAGCTGGGCCTTAAACAGGCATCAGCCAAGGCGTCACACTGAAATGCCTTGCAAGCAGACCAGCCATGGGAGGAGAGCAGTTGGAGGTCAGCAAGATCTGAGGTCAGTTTCACGTCACCAGCACTAATCAAGCCACAAGTGTTGGCTGAGTTCCTAAGAGAAGAGCTTGTACAATATTCAAGCACTGTAAAACCAACTAACTTGAGAAGGACATGTGAAAGGACCAGGATGAAGCAGCCAGGAATAGAAAGGGGTGTGACAGAGAAGTGGATGACCAGATGTTCTGCACTGGTCTTACAAGGAAACCAAGGAGGAGACTTGGGTGGTGCCCGAGAAATATATGTGAGTTCCACAAGTCCCAGATTAGAGCACTCCAGAGTGGCTTATCCAGGATGCCCTTGGAAAACAACTAGATTATCTGGGATAAAGGATGTCTTAGAAAGCATCTTAATACCAAATCCTGCTAGGAGCAGGCACTTTGGAGTTGGCAGTTATACATGTCTGTTCTGATGTTGCTAGGGCACCCCTACCCCAGCCCCAATCCCTACTTGAATATGAGATATATGGAGTTATCAGTATCAGACACTGTTGGCAAAGGTTTCTGTCCTGCCTGGTCCCACAGCCATTCAGTCCCAAATAAACACACAGAGGTCTACATTAATTTTAAACTGGTTGGCCTATTAGCTCAGGCTTCATATTAACTAATTTTTACACCTTAAATTAATCCATAATTCTTGTCTGTGTTAGCCACGTGGTTTGATACCTCTGTCAGTGAGGCATTCTCAGCTTACTTCCTCTGCATCTGAATGATAACTGCAGACTGAGCCTTTCCTCTTCCCAGAATTCTCCTGTTCTGGTCGCCTGCCTATACTTCCTGCCTGGCTACTGGCCAATCAGCATTTATTAAACCAATACAAGTGACAAATCTTTACAGGGTACAAGATCATTGTCCCACAGCAAGACACATCATAGCTTGGTAGAGTTCTACTGTGTGGAGAGAGCCTGCCTGTCATGGGCATGCTCATTCTGGGCTCTGGTCATTAGGAAGTGCTTCTCAGCTATCAGAGCATAGTGTGAAGCAGGATTGGTCCTCAGGGAAACGTCTCAAATAAGGAATCTAGTAAGCCAGTAAGCCAGGCAACACAGTAGTGATAAACAGGGATCTGTTACCTATCTTTTCTCTAGAAGAGTGATGGGTGAGGAATCTGAGGAATCCCTCATCTATGCCAAGATTGGTCCAACTTAAAACAAGTTTTGTGTCTCTACATAGAAACATACATAGTAAGGAAATGGCAGTGCCGAATATCATACTAGAAAAGGGGGAAAACTGGGGTTAATTCCTGGGCTAGCTGGATTTCCTTTTCTCTCACTATGGGATGGATAGAGCTGGCAATGTTGGGCTACGGTATTCACTTCCTGTTTGTCTGGTTCTTTCTAGGGTCTGTGAGTATGTGGGCACATTGGAGCACACCCACTTCAGCGATGGTACCTCCCAGCCCCCTCTGACCATCCGTCAGCCACAGAAGACACCTGGGAGCTCTGGCCTCCTTGGGGACCTCGAGTGTGAGGGCTCAAGTCAGGAGCAGACCGTGGAGCAGGGCCCCTCCCTGAGCACAGCCCCTGTGGTGCAGCCACGCTCCATCCAGGAGCTCGTTCGGGAGTGCAGCCGTGGCCGGACCTCAGACTTCCGGGGAGGCAGTCTGAGTGGGAACAGTGCCGCCAAGGTGGTCCTCAGCCTTTCCACCCAGGCCGACAGGTATGCGAGGCTAGCCGACCACACAAGGATGCTGAGCTGGTGATTGCCTGGTGGCTGTGCTTATATTCACTTGTCTGGTCTCAAAATCAGCTGCGGAGAACTTGTATTAGCCAGGAAGATGCTAAAAATGCTTTTCAGGG